TGCTTCCAGAACTTGGTAGCTGTGAGTGGGACAGGGTTTTAACATCTATAATATAGGTGAGGAAGTCACACTGATTATCAAAAATCTATCACTCAAGAATAGCTACATGGAAAAAAAAATTTTTTTTTTCCTCTCCTTCTCTAGGTAAAATTTAAATTAATACAATTAACTTTAACTTATTTGCAGACCCCTAACTGTGGGAAGCTTAGAGAACTCCGTCATGATCACCTTGCTCTGCAATGTTAAACAGTGGAAAGAGAACTTAAATGTGCTTCTCTATTTTTAGTCTTTCTTCATACCATATTCTCACGAGTGCTCTCACCATCAATCTTTGCCCTTTCTACATGCAGTCAGTCAACAGAGTATCGTCTTACTGTATCACACTTTATTGCTGTTATCCGCGGGCTGCGTGTGAGCCAGCTGCACGTGTAGGCTGGGCACTTCTGAGGAAGCTGGTTGTAAGCACAGGTGAGCGTGGTGTGGCTTCCTCCACCATCTGCCTGGGGCCTGGGGGGAGGGCTGATGCCAGCAAGGTGGCTTCCTGCCAGCTCAGAGACTGCCCATGCATATGGTATAGCATCTAGGAGTAAAAACTTCTTTACTAATAGCACAGATCTAGGGACTATCAGAAAACTGAGGTCTGGGCGATATTATGGCAGTGCCTGGATTAGGTCCTGCTTGTTTTAATATTGTATATTCCTCCTCAAGCTGCAACACTATTAGAAGCCACTGAAGCTTTGATAAATACCTGGTTTTAAATATTTTTTGGTCAGAGACTGAGGCTTCATGATGTAAGTCCTCAACTCTTGAGCCAGTGTGTTGCTGAAATCAGAGACATACAGCAGCTTTGCTTTCTCCAGCAGCATGTGTTTAGGCATTGGAAAGCAAAGTTTCCTGGTGGGTAGAATCTTTTTTTTTTCTTCTTTTTTAGTACTGATATTTAATAAAATTTTCTGTGTCTTGTGTGCCTACCCCTTGGTAAACATGCAACAGCACTGTTCTTTCAACAGTTTTGCTTATCTTTGGTGGTATATGCACAGTCCTGCCCTATAAAGGGATTACTAAAGACCTCTATAATATGTATGTTTCTTGCAAAGCAAGATAAAAATTGATTCTTGTTTTATGAGGCAATGTGGCTTTTACCCATTTTTAGCATTACCGTATTAATATTACCGTTAACATTACCCATTTTAATGTGTAATTTTAACATTGCCACATTTATAGATGACTTATAATATGGGCTGAACAACAATAGATAACGTTTTTAAAGCTGTTTGTCTGTTTTTAAAGGAAAGCTTGGTGTCTAGATGAAAAAGTCCCACCAATTTGCATTTGGTTTCTGAAGTTTGCTCATGGAAAACATTAATTAGTATGTGAAAATATTGTTGCTCACTTTATCCTTTTCTTGACAGTTTTCTCTCATTTCCAATTCATATATATATTTTTGTTTTAGCCTCTGAGGTTAGTGTTTTCATTCTTTTATTCCTCTAGAGATCTTTCTTTTGTGATTATGAGGAGGAGATGGTAGTCAGGATATGCATCTTCTAGCAGACATTCTGTCTGATGGATTTGGCATGATGAAAGGCAAATGGGGAGAACATCAAACCCAGCAAGGAAGGCAGGGCAGTCTGGCAGGACTCTTCTGGTCTTCGGAGAGTTTCAGGAAATGGGAGGGGAAAATTGTGCAAAACCATTAAAGCAAATCTTGGTCCATAAATCAATCGAAGGAGACTGACATTTGTGAGTGGGTTTTTTCTCATATAAAGTAAGCTAAATGTTTTTGCCATAACTGCAGAGAAGCAATAAAAGGCTAGGGAAGGCAAAGGTTATAAACAAAGTATACTGTGCCGACAGAGGGTTCATAGATGATGACAAGAAACAAATAAAGTGAATAAGGCCGGTACTCTGTTCTGATAAATTTCATTGATTTCTGCACAGCGTCATTATGGTTGCAGCCTGCCCTGTTATATTGTAGCTCCAAACCTTTCATTATGGCTTCAGATGATAACAGCTGTTGAAACGCGGCAGGAGGTTGAGGTGACTACCATGGGGGTAAAGTACCATTTGCTAAGAAAATAATTAGGAAAAACCCTACGCCTGGGTAGCTTTTATCTGCCTGTGGTGTTGTCCTTGCAGAGGAACATTATATGCCAATACTGCATTTGTTTCCTGGATGAGTTCATGAAGCCTTCACAAGAGCAGAGGTGCTCTATAAAGCAGTATAATCAGACAGATCCCACTTGCTGAGTCAGTGCAAATGGTTTGCTGCTGTGCTCTGCCTGGACTTCATGAGACCACTGTGCCAAGAATGGACTCTTTTTCACGTAAACACAGGTACCTGAAGCTTTTTTGCTGCTGTGAGTAACCTACTGTCAGTGCCCCTCTAGGCAGTTTGTGCCTAAATCAGGTATCTGCTTACACCAATAACACCAACTTAAACTTGTCTGTAGCCGTATTTTCAAAAAAAAAAAAAATAGAAAGCTAAACCAGGAAAACAGTACCCAAATGCTGTGTGATTTCTTTCTTAACAGTGTAAGGTGAGCTACAAGGTAGCCCCTAATCCCAAGAGTTTAATCTCCCCTTACTCTAAGTAAGCACAAATCCATCCATTATTTTCTTGTTTGTTTCTGATCTGATGCTGAATGAGGAAGGGGACCTGAAAAACAATCTTAAGGAACTTTTAGCAAAAGAGAACACAGATTGTGGGGGTGTGATATATAAGCTGATACTGGCATATGCTACAGGAGTGCAGGAAAACTGCCAAAGCACCTGCAGGCTGCTGCTTGGCAGCAACATCAGAAAGGTACCTGGTTCCCTCTTTCTTACTAATAATTGGTAAAAGACCAAGAAGAGTATGCATATGTGGAGAAAAAAAAGGGATAAGAGGATAAAAGGAACAAAAACCAGGTCATGTATCTAACACTGTTTACAATACTGAAAATAACTGTGGACTGTTAGTTATTTTGAAGAAACCCAAGCTCCAGCTATGCAGAGATGAATGAATTGGAAAGGAACTCCTCTTTATTCATTAAATGTACTTTAAATGTACTACATGGAGATACAAACTGTAAGAATTCCATTCCTCTGCAGTCCACCCTGTCATATCAGCTCAGCATGCTGCAGTGTTCCTGACTCTAAAATATTTTTGGAGGATGGCAGTTCCACTGGAGCTGTTTTGTTCTTTGCTTTTATATAATGATGATGATGATGATTATGATGTGTATTTGTGGGCAGTAAAGGTTATTTGTTTAATACCATCACCAGAGTAGCACTGAATCTATATCTGCTTCTGCCTTTGACCTGGTATATTGCTTGCTGCAGTTCTGTCTGCCTTACCATCCTGAACTTTTTACTCTTCTACAGCTTTTGAGTATGAATAAAAAGCCAAGGACAAGTGCAGGGAGTGTCAGGGATGTGGTTCCAATGACTTTCTGCAGAATTATGTTTCAAGAACAGGTGTGGACTGTGAGGCTGCTGTCAGCTAGGAGGGAAGGTAGAGTACAGGTTGGATGCCATCACAGAAGAAATGACATGGCTCTCCAGGGACCTGCCTGCTTGCCTGCCCACCACCACTTGTTGCTCTTTTTAAAGACATTATGGTTGCCTTGGAATAACCTTACTTGTTTTCCTGGGACAAAAAATACTGAGTTATGGGGGTGATAAGGGATGCCTTTAACTGGAGGTGATGAAAGAGTGTGGATTATTGAGTACTGGGATAGGAGGAGGGGACAAGAAATTCTGCTGCTACCTAAACCTGAATATTGGTTACACCTGTGACTCTGCTGACACTATTTCAATTGGAAAGAAGGATATGGGTGTGGAGGCTCAAGTGCTGTAGTTCTTAACCTTCCTTAGGAGGGCATCTAAATTCCAAAAGTCAGGTCCATGGTTAATCCAAACCCTCTGTCTTCACAGAATTTACACAGAGAATAAATCTTGGCTAATGTATGTGTTCTGTAATGCCTTTTTCTTTATGACTCTGGAACACAGTTATATCTTAGAAGTTTTCATGGTCCCACTGATGTTTTGCAGGGTTCCTTTCTTGCAGCACCATGGAGTGCTGTGTTGCTCTTGGGTAGTTGCCACACCACATTGTCTAGCCCCAGGCTAAGGGATTTTATTTATTTTTATTCCACATTGTTTCAACTGTTTTCACTTTTATTTCCATGCTCCAGCAAAATTTCTTCATGAATGTGGCAGCACATTAGGTTTCTTGGTTTATGAGTTGTAGTTAGTTAAATAGCCTGCTGGATTTGTTTGCCCTTATCTGAGAATTTTCATACTGTAGCAGCAACAGATTGAAAGGTGACATTGAGCTCTTACAAAGTGAGGGAAGAGATGGGAAAGTTGTTCTCCCAGAACGCTGCTGATCTGAGCTTTTTCTAGCTGTCATGTTCATGTTCAAATAAAATCCTCAGATGAGACACTATCACTCTGGTAAATGCAAAAAGAAATCTTTGCTAGAGAATATAGCAATGTAATTTGCGATGTAACTCTATGCATGGTAAATTGCATGGGCATATATACATTGAGATCTGTCCTCTACACTGAGTTGTTTGGTAACTATGATTTTAAAAAATATATTTTTTTTAGTGATTGCTTTTTTGAGCCTCTGTTGCTTATATGCTTTCATTATATAGGTTTTCTGTTACAAAGACTGCATTCAATTACATTCTTCATCTCTTTTACTTTTTTTTGTGTTTAAGCCAGTCAAATAATCAATTAAAATGTCACTATGAATGAAAACATTTGTTTATCAGTAGCAAGAGAAACATTGGGTGTCCCATCTAAGAGGTTTAACTTAGCTTTCAGTGAACAGGTAAGTACTGTTACTGTTCATAATAGAGTGACTGTTCACAGAGGGGCTGCTGAAGGCTTTATTGTAATAATAAGGGGAAACTGATATGAAGAGAGTCATCTTGTGCAATAAAACACAGCTCTGCTTACTGATCTACAAAAGGAGGAAATGTCTGAAGACCTCCCTCTCATATCTCTTGTAGGATTACCTTGACTGTATCACTGACCAGACCAAGCTCTCCCTGGGGACAGAAGAGCGATCAGCCCTGTTTGGAAACATACGGGATATCTATAATTTCAACAGGTAAATTCTTATCTAACTAAAGGAAAACAGTTCAATAGCCTGTATTAAAATGGGAGGGGACAAACGAACCAAAGATGGTTTTATCACTCTAATATGGCCAAGATCTATAATTTGAGAAATTATCTAAGATTTTTTGATTGTAAGCAAAGTTGGGGTGCTGAGATTAGAATTTTGTAGCTGTTTATTGGATGAATCAAGTGTGGTCTCCATTTTTGTTTTTATGCTGGGTATTTTTATGAATGTAAGCTTAACCTGATCTGTGCTTTAACTGAATCTAATGCAAAACCACTGTGAATGAAATTCTTGCTTTAATAAGGAGATATTTTATCCCCATGTACATCATCCAGATCTGTAGTGTTCCATAGTGTTTTATAGTTTTTGTAGTGTTTTTATATATATGTAGTCCCTACTAGGGACTCCCTGAATTATTTCTCAAAACTGTGTTGAACTGTGAACTGTGTTGTTCATTTATTGAAGTCTTCTGTTCAGTATCTTTCCAGCCTTCTCTAAAACTCTGCAGATGGGATTCTAGTGTATATTGGGAGCCTGGAGTAAAATTTCTTGCTCGTATAGCTAGTACCACGTTGTGTAGGACCTCAGTATCTTCAGTTTTAGGAGCATACTACTACTACTTTTGTCTGAATTCGATGTTACTATAAAATAATTAACCTATTCAACATTTAAGGAAAATCTGAACATTCTACCAATGCAAGAAATACATTGACATAAAGTTCTCACATCTTTTATATCCCAGTATTCCCGTAAAAGCTCTTTTAGCTTTGCTATAGTTGACAAAACATCTCCTAAAATACTATATTCTTTGAAGAATAACAGACAATTGAATCAAAAGAGGATTCTGAAGAGGAGTGCTTGTGTCAAAGAGCATCTTCAGTGTTTTTTTTCCATCATCATGGGAAGTTACTTTAAAGGGATTTAACTACTGGGATCTCTGTTCAGTGTCAAAGGAAAGAGTAAGAATGGATCTATTCAGAATTTATGGACAAAGATGAAACACAAAATCTTTTCCTGAAACTTAAAATAGCTACTGCAGAGTAATGGAAATACGCTTAACTAGAAAGCTGCTGTGTTCTGCTTCAGCTGCAAAAACTGACTTGACCAAATGTCTAACAGCTGGAAAATACATGGTGGGAACCTGCTAAAACAGGCTCATGGCCTGTTTTAGAGCCATGAGACAATGATGGTAAGCTTACAGATTCTCAGTGGTCTCAGGATGGAAAAACACAGTCCTGACTGTTACATTTTCGGATCTTTCAAAAACTAGAAAAATGACATTTATGCCAGCATCATTGCAAGTACTTCCTAATAAAAATAGCTCCAAGTATGATCAATCATTATACAGAATAATTGAGCTGGGGGGGAGGGGAATTTTAGTGGTTAAAATTTTTTAAAAAAAAGCCAACAACAAAAAAAGCAGTTTTGGGCAATTTTAGAGATATAGATATTTTAGAAAGGTTAAAACTCACCTGAAAGTTGTCCAAAGCCTCTAGTAAATTACTAGTGTATTTCAGGCCTTCTGATAAAAAGTCTTGCGTGGAAATTCAGAGCTTTTAAAATCGAACATTTGTTGTAGATCAGAACAGATTCAAGGATTAAGTTTACTCCTCTGTGAAATTTGGCATAAAGCTTCTGGGTCCTAAATGTACTCTAGAGCCCTTTTATTTATTTTTGCTGTTAGAAAGAGGTCCACTTGATTTTATAGTTTCAGAGTTACTTTGTCTTTCTCAGCTTTGAATTGGACTGTTAATCAGTGACCAAAGGTTTTAGTCTTGGGTTTTTACACAGACTTTCAGATCTGAGAAATTTCACTTCAATAAAGGGGAATTTCTGTCAGCTAAACTACTTAGGATTTTCAGATGTTATGTTGAATGGCAAAAATGGTGGTCAAGATGGTAACTGCTAGTTCCATGACTGTGATCTGGAAAGCTATTTCTTAAAGCAGAATCACTGACTGTATACTGGTCCACTAATCCTGCTGTCCCTTGGGAAAACCTCCATCACTGCTGATTTATTTATTTGGAAGGGGGAAGTGTTCTCTAAGTCAGCATTTGCTGCCTTTCTTCCCTGGCTTCCCTGCTGAGATTCTTTGCGCTATCCTTTTAGGATAAATTCTCCATGATACCATGACTCAGTTCTGAAAGGGAAACTCTGCAGAGAAATGTGCTTAAGTTTGGTACTTCTGCCAACACTTAGGAGAGGTGAAGCTGAAACTTCTGCTGCTGAGACAGATCATCCTGCATGGTCTCCTTGGCCATCAGTGACTACTGAAGCACACAAAGACAGTGAAGGGGCCATTTTCTGTAACTGCCATACTCAGCAGATCCTGCGCTCTGAGTTTCACAGTGGTAATGTCTGGCTTCTTCTTCTGAGGAGCCTACATAAAAAATTAAAGCATCCTAAAAGGCATTATAATTTGACTTACTCATTTGGTAAGCTAATGAGTGCATTGTATGCAAAATTGTCAGTCTCTTTATGCTTACCTGTCTCATCCCAAAAGAGTTAGTATTAGCTCTCTGGGATGATCATACAGATTCAGATTTTCCCAGCCCATAATAACTCAAGCTATATAACTCAATACATGATCTTAAGTGGCAGTGGCACTTGTATCATCCTTCAGTCTGAATCTTGTTAATGATTCAGCTGAGAGAGCATGAAGTTCCTCTAATGGTGCTCCCTCATGCTCCCCTCTGGCCTGGGTGTTTGGCACAACTAAGTTGCAGAGGCCAAGAGCTGTGAACAGCATGAAACCTCTGTATATTCAGGTGAAGAGGACTAATGCTTTTTTCTATTGTTTTTTGTGCCTCCTGCCAGGTACTTAAATGTAGTCTATAATAAAAGCCCTGCTTTTTTTCATGTCAGCTTGGTGTTATGGGGACTTATTTAAGTTTTTCAGGATGACTGAGCGTGGCAGATTTGCTGGTTTTGCAGTGGCAGACTGCTCTTACAAATCCCATTCTTACTAGCCAGGTGAGACAGAAGGGAGTGCAGTATAGGTAACAAAATCTTTCAAACAACAGCCCTTATACTATGGACTTGTGCTGAAGACACAAACCACTAGCCCATTTAATGCATAAACTTGGACTCATTGCACAAATATATAAAATCTTTAAGTGTTCTTTGCTGTATCCTGAAGGGGAAATAAGGTGGTTTTGTAAGGAGACCAGTAGGAATAAAATGACAATCAAGGTGCTACATACTCTAANGGGGGGAATTGTAGTGGTTAAAAATGTAAAAAAAAAAGCCAACAACAAAAAAAGTAGTTTTGGGCAATTTTAGAGATATAGATATTTTAGAAAGGTTAAAACTCACCTGAAAGTTGTCCAAAGCCTCTAGTAAATTACTAGTGTATTTCAGGCCTTCTGATAAAAAGTCTTGCATGGAAATTCAGAGCTTTTAAAACTGAACACTTGTTGTAGATCAGAACAGATTCAAGGATTAAGTTTACTCCTCTGTGAAATTTGGCATAAAGCCAAATGTAGCCAAAAGTCCTAAATGTAGTCTAGAGCCCTTTTATTTATTTTTGCTGTTAGAAAGAGGTCCACTTGATTTTATAGTTTCAGAGTTACTTTGTCTTTCTCAGCTTTGAATTGGACTGTTAATCAGTGACCAAAGGTTTTAGTCTTGGGTTTTTACACAGACTTTCAGATCTGAGAAATTTCACTTCAATAAATGGGAATTTCTGTCAGCTAAACTACTTAGGATTTTCAGATGTTGTGTTGAATGGCAAAAATGATGGTCAAGATGGTAACTGCTAGTTCCATGACTGTGACCTGGAAAGCTATTTCTTAAAGCAGAATCACTGACTGTATACTGGTCCACTAATCCTGCTGTCCCTTGGGAAAACCTCCATCACTACTGATTTATTTATTTGGAAGGGGGAAGTGTTCTCTAAGTCAGCATTTGCTGCCTTTCTTCCCTGGCTGCCCTGCTGAGATTCTTTGCGCTATCGTTTTAGGATAAATTTTCCATGATACCATGACTCAGTTCTGAAAGGGAAACTCTGCAGAGAAATGTGCTTAAGTTTGGTACTTCTGCCAACACTTAGGAGAGGTGAAGCTGAAACTTCTGCTGCTGACACAGATCATCCTGCATGGTCTCCCTGGCCATCAGTGACTACTGAAGCACACAAAGACAGTGAAGGGGCCATTTTCTGTAACTGCCATACTCAGCAGATCCTGCGCTCTGAGTTTCACAGTGGTAATGTCTGGCTTCTTCTTCTGAGGAGCCTACATAAAAAATTAAAGCATCCTAAAAGGCATTATAATTTGACTTACTCATTTGGTAAGCTAATGAGTGCATTGTATGCAAAATTGTCAGTCTCTTTATGCTTACCTGTCTCATCCCAAAAGAGTTAGTATTAGCTCTCTGGGATGATCATACAGATTCAGATTTTCCCAGCCCATAATAACTCAAGCTATATAACTCAGTACATGATCTTAAGTGGCAGTGGCACTTGTATCATCCTTCAGTCTGAATCTTGTTAATGATTCAGCTGAGAGAGCATGAAGTTCCTCTAATGGTGCTCCCTCATGCTCCCCTCTGGCCTGGATGTTTGGCACAACTAAGTTGCAGAGGCCAAGAGCTGTGAACAGCATGAAACCTCTGTATATTCAGGTGAAGAGGACTAATGCTTTTTTCTATTGTTTTTTGTGCCTCCTGCCAGGTACTTAAATGTAGTCTATAATAAAAGCCCCGCTTTTTTTCATGTCAGCTTGGTGTTATGGGGACTTATTTAAGTTTTTCAGGATGACTGAGCATGGCAGATTTGCTGGTTTTGCAGTGGCAGACTGCTCTTACAAATCCCATTCTTACTAGCCAGGTGAGACAGAAGGGAGTGCAGTATAGGTAACAAAATCTTTCAAACAACAGCCCTTATACTATGGACTTGTGCTGAAGACACAAACCACTAGCCCATTTAATGCATAAACTTGGACTCATTGCACAAATATATAAAATCTTTAAGTGTNGCTGGTTTTGCAGTGGCAGACTGCTCTTACAAATCCCATTCTTACTAGCCAGGTGAGACAGAAGGGAGTGCAGTATAGGTAACAAAATCTTTCAAACAACAGCCCTTATACTATGGACTTGTGCTGAAGACACAAACCACTAGCCCATTTAATGCATAAACTTGGACTCATTGCACAAATATATAAAATCTTTAAGTGTTCTTTGCTGTATCCTGAAGGGGAAATAAGGTGGTTTTGTAAGGAGACCAGTAGGAATAAAATGACAATCAAGGTGCTACATACTCTAAGCTATCAGGAGAACCCCTTTCTTCCTGCCAGACAGCAGGAATCCTCTGAGCTTGTTTGACATGTTTGATGTTATTTCCAAAGCTCGTGTGTGGGACACAGTCAGTCAGTGTAACTAATGGCTATTGGTCACCATTGCTACAGCTTGCTGCTTTTCCTGATGTAAACGAGCTTCATGACTGTGGGTTATTAAGCAGGGGTTATGTTTTTATTCCTATTTTGATGAATGGAGAAATTGAGGTGTGGAGGTAAAATTGTTGCTATACAGAGTGATTAGTGACCACTGAACCTGGGATTTCTGCCTTTGTTCTTTGTGACTGCTTTCTGATTTCTCCCTTTCCTTCCTCCAGGAATTAGAGAAGCAAAGAAGAAGGCAGGAAACTCTTCTGGTTTACTCCTTTATGTACATAGAGAGGGAAATTGTGTCTGCGTACAGGGGAGTAGGGTAGTTCCCTAAATACAGGCTTAGGAACTCTTAGGCAAAACTTGCTCAGAGAACCAGCTGTGAATTCAGAGAAAAGTAGCCCTAAATGGAAAATTGTCTGTGGGAGTTGCGGAGGGAGAGGGAGGAAAAGAAAATTCTATTAGAGTACAATTTAGCAGAAAACTCAGTTTCTTCTCTCATTTTTCTGAGTTCATTTCTCAGTAAGACTGAAGACTACTCAGGTCAAGGAGATACCGTTGAGGTTTTCTTCTCCTACCTGAACTCTTGCTTTCACTGGATTTGCTTTTGAGAACTGAGTTTCATACAGCAGCAAACAGATTCCGTTATGGCTTTGCTCCTGTTACAATGAATTAATTTCCTTTTGAATATGTCAAAATTATAAAAGCCTCTCAGTGAGGTGTTGTTTTCATGCATGTAGGATGTCTACATTCTCTTCCAGAAAACTTTTTCTAGGCTAACCATTTTTCTTCAGTGAAGAGACACACTATAGGCTGACAAATTTTCCTCAATGAGTTTCCTAACATTCTTCTTGTATGTGTAATACATCCCTAGTTCTCACCAGTATTTTTCAGAGCAGCTCCTCATCTCCCTGGGTCAAGTAAAGCTGCTGGAATATACAAGGTCTTCATAAGACAGTGCATGTGCTTCAGTAGCTTTTAAATTTTCTTAGTTTTAAATCGTGTTAGTTGATATACAAGCTACACAACTGTTTGACTGCACCATTATGAGTATTGTTGAAGAGCTGTCAGTCATAGAATCATATAATAGTTTGGGTTGGAAGGGGTGTTTAAGGGTCATCTAGTCCAGCCTCCCTTCCATGAGCAGGGACATCTTCAACTAGATCAGGTTGCTCAGAGCCCCATCCAACGTGGTCTTGAATGTCTCTAGGGATGGGGCATCTACCTGAAGGAAGGGGCTCAGCTTTGGTTAGTGGATCACCAATCCATGGTCATTGTGATGACTAGAACTTTTAAATATGGGGAAATACCATTTCCTTATAGTTCACCTCTGCCTACAAATAAAAAAAAAACAAGTGGCTGGGGGGAAGAGGGGCATCAAAGAGGTTCTCACTTCTTTTTCAGGACTCCCTGTGTCATTAGGTACTGCCATGAATGGTGAAGCACTGTCTGGTTCCCAATACACAGGGGTGTTCATTTCAAGGTGTGCCATAATTGTCTTACCTTTTCCTGTTCTTTGTTATAGTGAACTTCTGCAAGATTTGGAAAACTGTGAAAACGATCCTGTGGCTATAGCAGATTGTTTTGTTTCCAAGGTAAGTCCGCAGCATGATGCCGGTTTTAGAACGATATGGATGGAGGAAATAGGTTTAATTTATTAGCTTTTGTGATCTAATTCTGATAGCTTATGTGACATCAATCAAGAAAAGCCAGCAAATCTATGGAGAGGGAAGGAATTTCTCTTAGTAATTGATAAGGATATGCATTTCTAAAAAAAATAAAGAAAAAGCTGTCATTTGAACTGGTGAAACTGTTAAGTTTTTGTTTGTTTGTTTTGTGGGGTTTTTGTTTTATTTTTTGTTTGGTTGTTTTTTTTGTCAGCTATTACAGGGGTTCTTTTTGTTCTTACATTTTTTAATGTAGGTGATCAAGTGGTACTCCAGTTATGCTTTGTCAGCTTAAAAACAACTAGAGAATAAAAATTGCTTGCATTTTTAGAAAGGCAACAATATTAACATAGTTGTAGCCATATTGTTTTCTCAGATACGTTTTTCCTGAATCCTGCAGTTATAACTTTAATTTTCTTTTTAAATGGGATGGCCCAAAGTCTAGCGTTAAGATTCAAACCTCATCTTCCTGAAATGTTTTGAATTTTCTGAACATGGATCTGACATCTTTATTCTGTTTGGTAATACTGAAGCCAAAAAATATGGAGAAGAAGTTGTTGGGTGCAGGAGACATGCAGGGAAGCAGAGTAGGTGACTTGCATTGTAGGAAACCCAAAGAGCCAGTCAGGGAGAAGAGGAATGGCTATAATGAGTAGGGCAAAAAGAGATTAAGTAATTTGGGCTACACATGATTCTAGTTCACTGCAGACTTCACCAGAGAATCTACATAGGCCTTGAATCTGTAGAGTCCAAATGTGTTAAGAAATAATGCCATCTCCACGGTATTTCTGGAGGAAGAGGAGTGGAAGAGGGATCATGCAGTTGTTTAAATTTGCATAATCTCTATAGATGTGTTTGCCTTTTTGTATTTAAAAACAAACCCAAAAAAACCAATACACACACACACATGCACACAAAATCAACAAAAAAAAACCCACATGAAAAACTCCAAAGAAACCAAAAAACCAGACTTTTTTCTACTTTTATACTCATGTTTTATACTTTGTCCTGAACTCAGTATTGCCAGCACCAAGCATTCAATGTAATAGGTATAACACATGGATTTAGGATTAACTAAACACCCTCTCATGGTGGTCTAGTAATTTGTTTGGCACTGTTGTGACACAAGGGATTTTATCGTAAGAGGGAGTGATGATACCAGCTTAGTGCTGCTATTTCACTAGATCACTTGCTTCAGCTGAGTTTGAGAAAGCTGTTATTTATCTAGTAACTGATTTTTTGTAAGCTTTGAGAGACTTTAACATTGGCACCACTACTACGAAAGTAGGATGCATTTTTGTCTCATTGCCGTGGAGTTTATTGCATGTTGTTGTTACTACAGATAGCCTGTACTGAATTGAAGGAGAGAGAAAATGGGATAGTGCAAAGTCCTGCTTCTGGAACAGAATAACCTGATGTGCACACTGGGTCTGGCTGACTAGGAAACAGCTTAGCAAAAAAGATCTGGGGTCCTGGTGGGCAAGAAGTTGTGTGTAAGTCAGCAGAGTGCCGGTGCAGTGAAGGCCAACTAGGAGGCCTTCAGGATATTTACAGATAAAATGGTTTGGATCTGGTAGATCTTTTTGCTGGATTGCTTGCTTATAGCTGGGACCACTGGGACTGCTGCTGGGATATGAAACAGAGATGGTGCAAGTGATAATAGTAAGTTCAGGAAAAAGTTGTGTTCTCATTCAAACTGGCCAACTGAAAAGGCTTGTCTGGTAGACTTTCTGGCCATTAGTTCTAAGAATCCATCTGCATATCATTGCTTGTTCTTTTTGTTCCCTAGTCAAATGCTTTTAGCATTTGTATTATTGGCAGGCAACTGCCTGATGGCTCAGAAATTGCTACAGATTGCAGTCCTAACAGGCATTTTTTAGCTTCATCCAGACGAGTGCAAACACTTAAAAGCAAAATCAAACAATACCAAAATACCCCACAGTTCTGATTTTGGCCATGACGATGTCATTACAGCAACTGCTGACTGTCTTAACAGACTCCAGTTGTTCATTCTTGGTTGCTTGTGTCTTCCCAGCACTGAGTAGTGGAAATAAAACTGCCTTTTTTGGCAGCATGCAGTCCTTCAAGTCTTACGGGACTTTGGCCATTTATTGTTTGATTGCTTCAAGTGTGTTAGATCTTCACTGTGAGTTAAGCATGGGAATATTATCATGCTGAAGTCATAGCTCACATCGTTAGTTAATGAATGTAGCTCTGCTGGAGCTTCTTGAATGCTTCCAATGGAGCTGTGTTTAGGTTATACAAGCTGTGGATCTAGTGCCATTTTTTCACCCTACTGGTTCAGCTGTGAATACCGTAGTTTGGGGGAATTTTAATGCATAATCAAGTTTTCTCTGTAGGTACTGTGTCTAGTTTTTGTACTCTTTGAAGCTCAGTAACTGCATAAAATAAAAGTAATTTCTTTCTTAGGGTTCATGTGAAATGCCTCAAAGTTGGTTTGCATGTATAACAGAAGAGTCCTCCCTCTTTTTCTAAAGACCTGTATTAACTCTAGTATGTAAAAGTTCTTGAAGACATTTTGCTGGTAACTGTAATTGGAGGCTGAAAAAAGGATTCTAGTGCAAGCTTAGTTATTCACCATAATAACTAAGCTTAGCTGTTAACTAAGCTGTAGCTTAGTTGTTCACACAGAAGACTGTTCATAAAATTTTTTGCCAGTTCGGTCTTTCGTTTTCCTAGTAAAGATGCCAATATTCATTAGAAAACTGACTTCAGTATTCTACATGTTTACATGTAAGTGAGTTAAAATGGAGAGCTGAATTCTGGCATGTTGCTCTTCTCACTCAGCATCCCAGAAATTCAGAACATATGTTTTCTGAAAGACACACTAACCAGCTTAACCAAGGAGAAAGGGAGAATTACTCTAATCTAGCATCTCATTAGTGAAGAGGACATCCAGGCAATTGGCTTCAGTTTGCACACTGACTCTACTCCTTTTCTCAGCCTCCATTTACTTTTAAAGTGCTTTTTATGGCTGTAAAAAAGCACAGTGCACCAAGAGTTGAGGGAAGATGGGGAATGTATGTGGAGGACATGCACTGTGAATTGATTCCACAGCAGGGGACCAGCTAAGTATAGCTGGGAAATGCTCACACTTGGCTTTGCCTTGAGAATGACTTGCAGTCAGTGCAGATGAGCTCTCGATTTGAGTCTTCATTTTTTTGCAGCCTCTACCACAACAGTTTTTGGACCCCAGATTAAAAATGATCTCTGGAGCAATTCCAGTCTCTGTGCAGAGATCAGTTTTAATCTGGTCTGAAGACAGTTGATGTGAATAAAACAATTTTCAGGCCAAGTTTAAGGATGACCAAAGGAATACAAATGAGCCATAGCTGGTATTTTCCTTACATTGTGAAAGTATTCAAAAAAATATTGAATCCATCTTAGTTCTGGTTTTTCTTTTGCTTCTGAATATAGTTTAGAACACTAGCTTTAGCCTTCACGGCTTGTGCCCTGATATGCTCCCAGGGACATGATGCTCTCTCTCTGAGGAGTCTGTTGTGAAGCAGAGCAGACTAGCTGGGTGTGTGAACTGAAAGTCCCTTCAAACGTGCAGAGGTGCCAGGTACCGAGGCAGGCACTGGGAGAACAGCCATCCTGAGTAGTTTTGTCGGGTCAAGAAAGAGCCTCTCTTGGAAGTGGCTCTCTTGGCCACTTTCCCAGTGAGTTCACACAAATCCAGCCAATGCCTAGGCCAGGTGTATTATGTTGATTCACAAGAGATCTGCAAGTTTGAGTGCATATCAACAATCTTATCCTGGAGGCAGAACACATGTGCTTGACTTTCTCCTAGTATTATGCTCTCATTGCTCAGTAAAGTAAATGCTCTCTGATGGTTTAGTGTGATGAAATGAGCTGTGGTGCACTGAGGCGAGTACACATGTAAGTGCAGGAAGGAATTTGGTGTCATGTCTGTTCAGAAAGCAGGGATGATTGTGAAACCATTCTTAAAGTTTAGAAGTATCAAGGGCATGAGAAATTACCTTTTTTATTTTTTTTAATAAAAATTTATTCCAGTTCATAGCTATACTAAAATCTTTTAAAACCAAAAAAAAA